TCCTTCCTCTCTGTAAAAAATCAATAAAATATATTTTTTTTAAAAAAAAAAGAAAAGTGTTAATTTATACAGTAAACAGACCATCAGACAAGCACTGTGTGTGAGGACGGTTAACACGGGATCAGGTGGGGATCTGGGACGGATTCGTTCCATTTACATTCTTTCTAGGGGGGGAAATGATTCCGGGTTGGAACCAATCGCTTCTCGATCAGCCTTCCGAACGCACTAGGTTCCAGAAGCGGAACGCGGTTCCCCTGTAATAAGATCGTGTTTATTTGACTTCGGTTAGACTCTCAGGTCAATTGAACAACTACGTGTAGGTGTGAATTACATTCCTGAGGGCCCTCCGTCCCCGGGGGAGGCCTCCCCACCGGATTCCGCGTCATTTGTAATCCTCTCTCTGACCGCGTCCACGTGTCGTCTCTTCCAGGTTTGACCACCAGAAGGGCTTTTGGTGCCAACTGCTGGAAGGAGGGAAGACCAAATGCCTGGGGAAAAGCAAAGGCCGGAAGTACCCGCCCATGGACCCCCAGGTGGGTTTCCCTGGTTTCAGGATCGTGGGGTGCAGCCACGCACACCATCACCGGAGTGAAGGCGGAAACGCTCACTGGACAGCAACCCGCTCCAGGCGTGTGAGGTGCCCACATGGGTTAGCAGACACATGGCTGGATCACGTGTGTGAGCAGCGCGCTTACATAGTAAGTGCACGCCCAGCGCCTGCTCTGTGCACGGGCTGAGTAAGCCGTGGAGGCCCTGCACCGTGACCGGGGGCTTCTCCCCGCCGACAGGCAGTGCTGGGCCCCGGCCGGGGGTCCTACAGTCCAGCTCACTCCACCGTCCACCGCAGCAGCGTCAGAGCTGCAGGTCGGGGCTCAGGCCTGCAAGGCCGCCCTCCCTACCCCCTGAGAGGCCTCCCAGCACCCGGGCTCATCTGTGCCCCATGACCCACCGGCTGGAAGTCACAGGACCCCACACCCCTCCCTGGGTTTCATTAACTCGCGGGAGTGGCTCCCAGAACTCAGATAAACACGGGACTCACCCAGGAACGGCCAGATGGGAGAGGAGCACAGGGCCGCGTGGGGAGAGGCAGGGCATCCATGTCTCAGTGTCCCCCTCTCCCCCATATCCCGCTTCACCACCCGGAGATCGTGGTCCCTCTGATCGGGTGTGGGGGTGACTGCTCCCTTACAGCAGGACTGAGGCACTCCCTGGCCTTGGGGATCATGCCACCCCCACCCCTCTCTCCTTCCAGGGGTCAGGAGTGGGGCTCAAGCTCCTACCTTCTATGCCCGCGGGGTTCTCCCAGCAGCCAGTCCCATCTGGGTGAGGTTGAAACGCCACCTCGTCACCTGACAGAGACGACGTGGTCGCTCTCACTGGGATGTTCCATTTTAGGAGCTCTGTACCGGAGACGCGACACAGACCAAGTGTCTATCTCTTCTTCTGCAGGATGTCAGCAAGGATACAGCAGTCATGGGCCTGGATTGACAAGAGGGAGGGAGAGCTAGAGCTAGTTATGGCCCCTGGTCTGATAAGATCCGGGGAGCGGGACCCTCTACGAGGCAGGGGGGTCTGTGGTCGGAGGGCTGCTCGGAGGAGGCTCGGGATTGGGAAGCAGCGAACCTCCGGAGCAGAGACCACGAGCATCCCTCCCAGGCAAGGCGAGGAAGGAAGGGATGGAGTGATGCGGGCGTTACTATGGAAACAGAGGGACCGGGAGGTCCTCAAACTAGAACCTTGGACTCGAGAATGTCAGTGGGCTTCCGAAATCACTTTTACCTGCAAGACGTCCGTGGGCGTAACGTTCCCACTGCTTCTACAAGCGGCTGATCGGGACATGAAGGGTGTGCGTCGGGGTCCAGGGAAGACACGTAACGGAACACCGGGTGCGTGTGCACAAAGGGTGTGGCCGTTCTGAGTCCACTCCCCCAGCGGACGCAGGAGGCGCGCGGGGAGTTTGTAGGAAGAAAGGGGTCCATTCGTGGTAAATTACTGGACGGGCTGATGAGGGAAGGTGTGGCTTTGACCAGACGGAAAACACGGCTGTTGGTGCCTGAGCTTAGGCGGGGACCGGTCCTCCCTGCCTTCCATCAGGGACGCAGAGCTCCCTGGGCGATAGGGTGAGGCAGGGGTCACCTGGACAGGAACCCCAGGGTGAACTTGCTGTTTTCCAGGAAGAAAAGAAAGCATACGTGAGGGCCATGGCCTGTCGGGTAACCCTGGCATGTAGCCCTCCATCTGCAAAGGTCTGAGCCCTGCGGCCGGCCAGGAACAGGGACCCAGGGGCACAGCCCAGGATGGTCTCCAACGAGACTGTTTTGAAGCAGAAAGTTCTTGATGATATTTTGAAAACCTATTTTGGTCCCAAACAAAGATAGGAAATGTTTCTGCAACATTACAAGTGATTTCTTTAAACGTGAATTTCCGTTTGTGGGATGTTTTGTTTTTATGCCACGGCCCAAAGTGACAGAAGGTGGCCACGTTCAGTGGAAGAATCTGAGTTTGTCCAGGGAGGTCTGTAGAGTTGGTACCAGATCTGCTCCCTCCCTGGCTCCTCTGTAGCATCAGAGGACCCGCCTTCTGTCTCTCCCCGTGGACGTCACCCATCCGCCCTCAACGGGGCACGTGGTGAACGAGCCGCAGCCGACACACCTGGACCGGGTCTCATTTTCAGCTACGCGTCCGCCAGATGTTTTTGTAACCGGACGACCAAGGGGTCCAGGCACCTGTCACTACCTGAGCCAACTCAGCAGAGACAGCGCTGGGTCCTCTATGAGCACTTATCCCAGTCCTGCCGGCAGCAGGGGGAGCAGCAGGTCGCCCACAGACATCTGCTCTGCACCCCCCATATGCCAGCTGCTTCTATGGGGAGGAGGAGTTACAGGCATGGGAAGCAGACAGGGGTAATCGTACAGGTTACAGGTCATGCGGGCTGGGGGGGTCACAGAGGGGGACCTCCAGATGCCCCGGGACCAGATCACAGGCATGAGGGGCTGGGGTGGAAAGAGCAGGTGCCTCCGGGACGAGGTCATCTCGGCCACGACGTGGTGAGTCCCTCCTTAGTGACGGGCGGTTCCGGAAGGAGGATGGGCCGCGTTCCCAGGGGGGCTCCTGGGCCCAGGTGGCGACTCCCAGCGGGCGAGGCGGTGCTTGTACCCAGAGCAGAGCTGTCACGGTGACGGAGCAGGACCCACAGTCTGATCGCTGCAGCGGGTCGCCCATACTCTGTTCTGCTCCGAACAGTTTCAAAAGGTAAAAATGAGTGACCTCTGAGCAGACGCACAGAGACGCATCTTTGCCGCCGCCTGTGTTCTTACAAGCCCCTCGAGGAGCAGGCGTGTGGTCTCTTCTCATGACACGGGACACGCTCAGCCTCCTCTCTCCCTCTGCCTCGCAGGCCAGAGCCTTCCTGTCCGGCTAGTACCGGGACCACAACGTGGAGCTTTGGCCAGTAAATGTCAACACCATGTTCTAAAATCTACATGCCACCCTTTCAATTTAATCTTCGCTAGCAGCCCAGCTAACAATCATGCGGCATGGCATGTTTCAAAAGCCCTTGAATTCTAAAATGGAATTGTGTGATTGCATTCCCATGGCAATAAGACACCTGTAAATTACAAACTTGTCATTTAATCAGCATAAATGTAGGGAGTTTGTGCAACCTCTTTGTTGTGCGGGAGGCCGGGTGGCCCCTGCCCCGCTCTGAGCGGCCGTCACTGGGTGTGTGAGCCCCCAGGCCTGTCCCTGTCCCCCCTCCATCAGCGCCCGCAGCGCGCTGACCACGTGAAGCCGGAGCCTCCGTGTCCATCTGTCCTCTGAGGAGGGACCGGCTGCAGCGCCCTCACTGGCAGGACGAGCTGACCCTGACCCGGCGCACGGCATCCCCGGGCATCGTGAGTCCCCAGCGCCCGTCCGATTCAGGAAACGCGACGGGACTGCAGACTCTGAGCTCTCAGCGGGTTGGTGGGAGCGTCTCCACGTGAGGCAAGCCGTCCATGCTCTCAGCCGGGCAGCCTGCCCGGACAGGGGTGGTGGGTCTATGGACTGGGCCGCTACCTCGGGGAACAGGACACGCGGATAAGGGGAGGGATGTCTACGGGTCCA